GAACATATCAAACTTGATTTATTAGAATGTAGTTATTTCTTCACGCTCCTAAGACCCAGATTTTATATATATGTAAATATATATAAAAAGCAACGCAAACAATTATTGAGCTTCATCCTCTGGACATGAATGTCAAGTTAGTCTCTTTTCACAAAAAGCAGTAACAATTTGAGGACACTTCATATTTGCCTCTTTTGCCAGCACCAAATCTGCCTCATCTGAATCTTTCCACTTCATAAGAAATCTTAATTCTCCACTGCTGTCTGTGGCATCAATTATTCTTTCAGAATCAAGACCTCTGGCAAAGTCTCTTGGCTTGTCAGCAGCATCTCTTTTCTTCTTTGATTTGCTATCATCCGATTCACTGTCAGATAAAGATTTTCTTTTTGTTCCATCTTTTTCTTTACCAGCTTTTTGGGAATTAAGAAACGCTTCAATTAACTCTGGACAATCTAAATTTTCTTCAGGTTCCCAAGTGTTATCAGCATCTGTAAATCCCTTCTACTTCAGGAAATACTCCACCTTCCCATTTACTACTCGTCGATCCAGAACTTTTTCCACCACAAATTCTTCAGGCTCTGCCTCTTCAACTTTTTTACTCTTTCCATTCTGCTTCTTTCCCATTTTTTGCAATGTAGTTTTATTAGAGGCCATTTTTTATTGCAGATTTGAAGAGCTATTATTCACCAACTCCGAGCTGCTCCAGGTCGCGAGTCTGTGGTGTCTCCAAAATTTGAGGTTTTAAATCTGTAAGGGCTCTTTGGTAACGCCACTGCAACGATAATTCTTAATTTTTTCAAACACTATAGTTCTGTTTTATACTTCAAAGTAAACAGGTTCCTGTCTTTGATGTTGATGGTAAGCATAGACTTTATTTGTCTGCCAGACACAGAGCTATAAGAGAACAGCAGACCATTGCTGGCAAACAATCATAATGTAAATCAACTAGATCGCCATAAATTTCTAAGGCCTTCTTCCCCATAAAATTTCCTTCCCTGGTTCCTTTGAAGAGTTAGGAGTTGTTATGCTCTATTACTTGTCAAAAATGAACAGACATTGTTTTCTTTTTTTAAGACAGAGTCTCACTATGTCGCTCTCAGTAGAGTGATGTCCTGTCACAGCTCACAGCAACCTCAAGCTCTTGGGCTTAAGCTATTCTCTTGCCTCGGGCATTAGGTTTTTTGTTTTGTTTTGTTTTGAGAGAATTTCCCTTAAGCCCAGTGCACTTCTCTTGTCTTTCACAGAACTGGGTATTGCTAAGTGACCCAGCGATCTCCAGAACTAGGTCAGTCCAATTTCCCATCCAGGGGCCGACGGCAACCAACTAAACCCATTCCGTCCTTTCGATGAAAGGTACTGGCTACTATTAAAACGTGAAAGGGTTAAAAAGTACACTGCCTGAGATAAAGGTGATGTTTCTTTTCATCTAAGCATCTCTCCTCTGCAAGATTAAAGGTGGCGCAGCCTCCTGTAGGGGCATTGATTCCTCGTGTGAAGGCTTCTTCTGTCTGGCACTGTACTCTTCGTTCCTCCCAAACCTGAATTGGACAGCATTATGAATGCCCAAATCTGCCAGCCACTCACTTGGTCAGGCACTCATTGGGGCTTTAGGCAACCCATCTTCTGCCTTCCTTCTAACCAGTCAGATAAACTAGGTTTTAGGATAACAGGATGGACACAAGTCCTTCCAGAGCATAATGCGCTAGGCAGCGGAAGGAATCACTTACTCCAGCCCCGCCAGCCTCTAGCGTCTAGAGGCCCTCCAGCTGCTTGCACGCGCGGCACTCACCCGAGGCTGGTCCTTGGATATGGGGAAGAAGCGGCGGTCGAAGCTATCTGCCACCAGAACTGCTTGTAGGGGAGGCGGCGGTTCCTCCTCCGTCCCTCTGGTTCCCCCACCGCCGCTTCCCGGCCCGCCGCCGCCACGCTTATTGGCCCGACTAGCCACCGCACCAGGTGGCGCCACCACAGTGGCCGCCATCTTCTTCTCTCACGGCCAGCACTTCCGCAAGGAAACTGACACGGTACGTGGTAGGGGACAAAAATGGCCCAGCTCCTGAAACGCGAAAGATTAACTCTTGTACCGAGGGAGGAGCCGCGAAGGGAGGAGTGCGCATGCGTCTTCCCCAGTACCCTCCTGGTCTATTGCCCAGGGGTTCCAGGGATGGGATCGTGCCAATTCTGCTCAGTGGAGGCGTAAGTTAGGGGTGCGGTCCCTCAGTCATCAGACTCTGCCTGCAAGTATTGTAAGCCTTCATTTGTACGCAAACAAGCCTAGATTCTTGAGATCTGATGGGACTTGTGGCGGCCACTCGGGAGCCAGATCCATCCGGAATCTGTAATCGCGCTGCAATTTCTCCGCCCCTAGCATGTTATAAATTGTAGTCCTCCTTATTCACCCTACTCATCTCGAGGGACCTGGAGCCTTGGGAAGCTGGAACTGAGTCAAACTTCCCCTCCCCGCAGGAATCTACATAAATGCAGAATGGGGTGTAGCAGGGAGAGTAATTCTACAGGGTGTCCCTAAAGTTATTGTACAATTGCTAACGGTACCTTTATTTACAAAACGTTCATTACGAAATTTTACAAAATAGTCTGTGTTGGACACCTCTTTGTAAAATTTCATAATGAACATTTTGTAAACAAAGTTACCGTTAGCTACAGTTTCCCATGCATGGCGTCTTTAGGGGCGACTTTTGGGATGCCCGGTATTGAGCGATGATTGGGGACCACGCACCCTACAATCATTATCTCATTTAATTCGTCACACATTTCTCCAAGACATTTTATCATTCATTCAACAAACATTTCCTTGAACTCTCAGGGGAAGTTCTCCCAGTAGTAAGTGGCAGAAAAGGTACTGGAACCCGATCTGTCTGACTTCATAGATCCACAACTTTCTGCCAAATTATGTGGGGATAACGACTATTTTAGGATGTCTTCATCTATTCATTTATTCAGCCTATCCGCCTACTCTGTCTTAAGGAGACTGGAGCTGGCGGTGGATCCAAGAACACACTAATCGGTTGAGTAGGACCGGAGTTAAGCAGCATAGTTTCCAGGCAGAGGAAAGCCAGAAGCTGAAGGGCGCATCATGTTTTGGGGAAAGAAAGGGTGGATGCAGAGAGTAAACCAAGCCAGTCGTGGGAGGAGGTGGAAGAGAGGCGGGGTAGCCTGGGTGTCATTTGGAGGCAAGGACTTTTCCAGCCAGGCATCGCGCCCTTTTTACGCGGGAACTGTCGGAATTCCACCACCACAGGATTCTGCAGTTTCTGCAAACATTGTTGCCACCCACTCCCGCGTTGCATGTCGGGATTTAGAGTTCTCAAGACTGAGAATTGTTTCCATATGGTGATTCCGACTTAACTCCTTACTCCAGCGCCCTCCTAGTGGGACCGAGAAGTGTGTCATTTCTTCCCTCTTGAGGGCACTGAGCAAAGCCCTTTTGATTCTGGTAAATTTAGCCTAGAGAAGGAAAGGCAGAAGGAACTCAGTAAAGTTTACTATTAAATGAATCTGTGTTGTAGAGGAAGGAATCCAGCTTGCCCTACAAATTCAGAGGCAGAAGGCCGGGTGGAATTAAATAGGACCAGAAAGGAAGTAAATAGCACACTTACACACAGAGGTGGAAGATTGAGGGGTATGGAAAGTAGGTCTTATTTTAGAATTATTTTGGTAAAAATTTAAGGGGTACATGTGCAATTTTGTTAAATGGATACATTGCATAGTGAGGAAGTTTGGACTTTAGAGTATCCATCACTGGAGTATTATAAGTTGTACCCATTAAGTAATTTCTTATCCCTCACCCTCTTCCTGCCCTCCCACCATTCCAAGTCTCCCATGGTTTATCATTTCATGCTCTGTCTCCATGTGTACACATTATTTAGCTCCCACTTATAAGTGAGAACATGCTGGGTTGGGCCTTCTGGGTTGTTTTACTTAAGATAATGGCCTCAGGTTCAGTCCATGTTGCTACAGAAGACATCATGTCATTCTTTTTTATAGCTAAATAATAGTCCATTGTGTATATACATTTTTAAAATTCATTCATCCTCTTAAGGATACTTAGGTTGATTCCCTATCTTTGCTCATGTGAATAGTGCTGTGATAAACATGCAAGTATCTTTTTGATATCATTTCTTTTTTTTTTTTTTTGAGATGGAGTCTACTATGCCTCCCTCAGTAGAGTGCTGTGGTGTCACAGCTCACAGCAACCTCAAACTCTTGGGCTTAAACAGTTCTCTTGCGTTAGCCTCCCAAGTAGCTGGGACTACAGGTGCCTGCCACAACACCCAGCTGTTTTTTGTTGCAGTTGTCATTGTTTAGCTGGCCTAGGCTGGTTCGAACCTGCCAGCCTGGATGCCTGTGGCCAGTGCCATAATCACTGTGCTATGGGCCCCAAGCCCGATATAATTTATTTTCCTTTGGGTAGATAACTGGTAGCAGGATTGTTGGATCAAATGATAGTTTTGTGTTTAGTTCTCTAAGAAATCTCCATACTGTTTTTTTGTTTGTTTGTTTGTTTTGTTTTCTGAGACAAAGTCTCATTCCTTTGTCCAGGCTAGAGTGCCATGACCTCAGCCTAGCTCACAGCAACCTCAAACTCCTGGGTTCAAACGATCCTCTTGCCTCAGCCTCCTAAATAGCTGGGACTACAGGCCCCTACTACAAGCTTGGCTAATTTTTGTCTTTGGCAGAGACAGGGTCTTGTTCTTGCTCAGGCTGGTCTTCAGGTCCTGAGCTTAAGCAGTCCTCTCAGAGTGCTAGGATTACAGGCATGAGCCACTGCCCCCAGCCCCCTATACTGTTTTCTACAGAGGTGGTACTAAGGGAACCAACAGTGTTCCCTTTTTCTTTGCTTCCTGACCAACATTTTGTGACTTTTTAATAATAGCCCATCTAGAAGTCAGCAGAGGAAAGAAGAGGGTACTTTGAGAACCAGCTGCAGTTAGAAACCGAACAAAGGGAAGCTTGGCAGAGAAAATAAGAGTATTGAAAATATGAGAAGACACAGAAGAGAATGGCCTCAGGAAGACAGAGAAAGATACCAAGGAAGAAGTGGCCATCATTATGAGGAGCCACATTCCAGCTACTCCTGGCGAGGGAGCCGAGGCCACCGGTCACGACATGACGTAGTGACTCCCCCACTGGCGGAACACACCACGGCAGGTTCCCCAATGGCTGAGTCTGTGGATTTTAAAACTTATGTAGATCAGGCATGTAGAGCTGCTGAGGAATTTGTCAATATTTACTATGAGACAATGGATAAAAGAAGACGGGCACTAACCAGGCTGTATCTGGACAAGGCCACTTTAATATGGAATGGAAACGTTGTTACAGGGTTGGATGCCCTAACTAATTTTTTTGAGATGTTGCCTTCTAGTGAATTCCAGGTCAATATGTTAGATTGCCAGCCAGTCCACGAGCAAGCTACCCAGTCCCAGACTACAGTTCTTGTTGTGACCAGCGGAACAGTGAAGTTTGATGGAAACAAACAACACTACTTCAACCAGAACTTCCTGCTGACTGCACAGTCGGGTCCTACCAATACAGTGTGGAAGATTGCAAGTGATTGCTTCCGTTTTCAAGACTGGGCTAGCAGTTAAGGGGGGATTCCATTCTCCTTTCATCCATTAGTTCCAGCAACACAAATTTATGTGAAATTCATTCATTTTATTGTAGAAGCATTCTAAACTAGTATGTGATAAGCTAAAATTAATTTCTTTTAATTTTTTTTGTCCCTGGCAGCACCTTTTCTAGTAGCTGCCAGTTTGAATCATTGCCCTTCAGAGCTTTAATGCTAGGTTTTGACATGCCTTATATACATTCCAGTAATGGTGTTCTTAAAGTAATATCAAATACATGATTTTGGTACTAACATTCTCACTGTGAAACCAGCCTATCACAAAAATAAAATCCTTTATGATGTTATCTATGAGATATTAGCACAATATAGTTGTGAGAGGAAGTGGAGTGTGTTTGGTTATCAGGTTAATTTTATAGTTTTTGAAAACACGTGCCTGTTTTCGGTTAATACTGGTAATGCAGTTTTAATATATGGCTTTTTCAAGTCAATGCAAACAGTACAAATTTAGGTTTTTGTAACTACTCTGACATATTGGGCTTACATATAGATATGTCTAGTAGTCTTTTGTCATATTACATTTTTCATGTTGGCATGTTTTCTTATGAAGTAAATTAAATCAATATTCTAAAATATTCTCAGTTGATACCTGAATATTGGTTACATTTGGTGGCTTAAAAGCAAATTTTTGTAAAAAGATTTTTCTTGGCAGCTGTATGTCTGTAAATGCAGGTAATGAGTGATAGTAGAACTAATAACTTTAATGGGAGAATTGGAAATAAGACATACAGAAATCAAAGGTTGAGGCCAGATGAAATTTTGGGTACTTACCTTCTACCTCCTAAAAAATGTACCTTACTTTTAGGATTTAAACCACTCAAGTTATTAGGTATCCTTGTCAAATGATCATGAGTATCACTTCTGTTCTAAGAATTATTTTTTAAGATCTTTCCACTTGACCTAAGGTTTATCACCAATGTTTGTCTCAGTTATTCAATAACTTAAAGGGGTAAAATGTCAGCAATAAACTTAAACTTGTAACAGGGTCTAACACAGAAGTTGGAAACAAACGCACTGTTCTCTCAAACACCCTTAACTTCTAAGTCTTCCATGTGAACTTTCAGGCCTAAAGTCTTCCTATGTTTCACACCCCCCTCCCCAAATAATTTTTCCCCCCGTGTTTTTGTATTGTCAGCTTCAATATGTTTTCCCTAATTTTTTCCCTAATTATTTAATTTTATGATTTGTTTTTCCATAAGGCATTGAGCAAGTAGAGTGGTTTTAAAACATCTCCCTGCTATGTGGCTAAGTCACTGTCTTTTAAAAGAGAAAATGGAAAACAGCACATCTGCATGATAAACTTAACAAATTGGTTAATTTTATGTCTCAGCTTCTAAAGAGAAGAAAACAAGCTTTACTTTCTTTTTAAACTTTTAATGTCTTTTCCATGTTTTAGCGTTCTTAAGCTAGATATATGCTAGTTTTATTTTTACATTGCAACCAAAATTAATGTTTCTTACCACTTAATTTTAAAACCAGTAATTAATTGTGTTGCCCCAAACTATATACTATATTTCTCCTACAGTAACACAATAGAATTAGAATAAGATAAAGGGGTAGAACTGAAGTTTAAACCACACTTTCTCGTAGCCCTGATCAAAACTTACACATTATATTCAACTAAAAGTGAGCTTACTCTTTATTTAGGATTGGTTTTCTAAAATCACAGCTTTAGCAGCAACAATCAGAATGCCCAAATACTGCCCTTCCCATTGTGGAGAACAATCCCAAGTAAAAATTGCATATGACTAGTGATAATTGAATGGGTATTATATTGAATGGTTATGCATTGTTCACAATTGTGTGTTTTAAGATTTGCATATGAATTTCTTTTTCCAAACTCTGTATAATTTCTAAATGGCTGGAACTACTCTTATATGGACTAGACTGTATTTTTGACATGCTCATATTTTTGTAACTTGAAAGAATAAAGTTTGCCTTGTGAAAAAAAATAGCCCATTGATTGGTTGGTTTGCTTTGCTTTTTTCTGATAATTAGTGAAGTTGAGCATATTTTTCATATGCTTGTTGCCATTTGTATGTTTTTTTGAAAAATGTCAATTCTTGTCCTTTGCCCACTTTTTTTGGTTTAAAGAGACAGAGTCTCACTTTATCACCCTCAGTAGAGTA